CAAGAGCCAAATATAAAACCGACACAAAATTTAACAAAAACAAAAGGAAGAATTTTAAAATATCTGGCAAGAAAGTAATCAGGTGTTGCCAATTTCCGAGAAATTGCTACCAACTCAACTGAAAAGCACTTCAAAGTTATGCAAAAATATTTGAAGGTATAACTTTATTACCATGCAAAAGAAGTGTCAACAATATGGCATGGACTCAGTATGAAGGCATATAATTTTACTCCTTTTATTTCAATCTATTGCGTTTATTCCTTGACAGCTAAGAGAACAATGCGGATAAAAATAAATGAAAACCGATGAAGGTATGCTGGATAAGGCTTACTTTGTTATCATCTATATTGGCACAAGTAAAAAATGTAGACAATGTTACGCTACAGAACTTGTTAAAATTTATGAGAATAAAAAAACACCGTTTATAAATATAAATATATTCCAGTATGTACATAATATATATGAGTACTCATATATACGAATATGCTGGCTATATATTTTAGAGAAGGTTGAAAGAAAAATATAAATTGAGTATTTGTTCAAAGATGTTAAAATGAGAATTTTGAAATATATGGCATAAATTGCAATCTTACATTTTTGATAATGTGCCTGTTGACACTTTCATGTGAAAAATTTGAATTTTAAATCGATCTAATAATAAACTTATTACAAATTGCCAGCATAAAACTTAAGCTGGGCTACAATGGAAGTGTATGCAAACAAATAATTTTCATATCGTTTTGCTTTATTATCATTTCGCTTATACACTTGAACAATATCATAAATTATCATGGCATGATTGATGATGATACTTTTTCGTTAACCAACTCAGTTATACTTTCACAACATGCAGATACGAGTATACGTTGAGTGTAAAGAAGTTACCAGGCATATTCAACTAGTCATCAGCATCATCAGCATCAGCATCATCATCATCATCATCATCATCATCTTCATCCGCATCGCAGACGTAGTCAACAATATTGCCAGTATCTTTATCTTTATCCGGATTGTTGCTGTTATCACTACAAAATTTGTTGTCAGTAACAGTGGCTCTGCAAGTTTAAGTGTTTTTCCGTATTGTTATTGCTGCTGTAGTTGTTGCCATTGCTGCTGCCTCTAGTGTGTTTGTTACTGACATTGTTGTTGACAAAACCTCTTATACGTTGTCACATACATGCGAATCTTCTCTGCTCATACCTCTACAGTTTAATTTTTGTCACAGCGGAAGTGTCACCATTTGTCAAATGACAAAAATTGAAAACAATTTCCATGCAGATTTGCTCCGTTATGAAGTATAATAAATAAAGTAACTTTTCAACAGTTTCCCACACAGCAGAGCAAACCAAAACACAAGAAAAGATGAATTATATGCTAAATAAAAATAGAAGTTATAAATATTTTATTAAATACATATTGAATACATATGTGAAAAGATGGAGAAGTATGCTTTTAAGAATATTTAAAGTATGTCAAGTAACTCCGTTTATGATGAAAACAAAACCGTGTCAATTTTATATGAATAAGAAATGATGAAGCTGAGATACAATATTTAACAATGTTGCAATTTTCTTATATATATGTATATCTACATATGACTGAGATGTGTAAATTTATCATAAGAATTCGTTTATTGCATATCTGAATTTTAAAATTTTATATATTATCAAAACAGTGCATAGGAATGATAATACTTTCTATTAACTGAAGAAAAGTTTTTGAGTTAAAAATAATATAATTTTATTACTAAACAAAAATGACTAAACTTTTTCAAACTTCTCTACATAACATTACTTATAACTACTAACAAAAATCAATCAATTATTTTTAATTAAAAGTTTTACCCATTTAATATGAAAAGATCCTACAAAGAACCTAGACTTAATGAAGAAGTTCTCAAAAGTCGAGTAGCGAACAATGTTCTTATAAACTCATGTAGCTTATACCAATACATAATACTATACTATATACCATATATAATAGTACACACTAATCTCTAAGTTTCTGAGATACATGTATCGATTTTATATATTCATATATATATATTTCTGAGAGAGATATATCGATTATATATATATTATCTATATATATTATCTACAATATATGCATTCATATATATTTACTTATAGTACTAATAGTATAAATTGGTTGACTACATGTCGCTCAAGTCATATGGAATAAAAGACATTTAACCCAGCTATGCTCTGTGATCTTTGCGTACTGTTCAGATAACAGTGCTAAATTGATATGTTTTCTTATATTTATTATCATGTTTTATTACATTTTATTATTACATATTATATTACAATTGTTGGCATAAGAAGTCCCGTGCCACTTTACAATAGTTTAAATTTTCAATCCATTGCTAATACTAATTGCAATCTGTTCATCATCTTCTTTTTCATCTTATCCCAGTTTCGCACAGAGCACACTTCAGAATATTAATAATTTATTTTTTGTATTCACTTTCCCATATATATTACCGGGGTGTGTGCTGTGATCAATATTGGTGGTATAGTTTGAAAATTGGACTTCTAAACACTGTTACTGTAAACTCTCTACTGTGCGCTATATACTTTGCTGGCATAACTTGGACAAAATTAAATATACATAGGTATATTACTTGCTATTCAAATTTCTGTCTAGTGGTTAGCTCATCAAGGTTTTTACATTGCTGTTTTATAACTTAGGTCTTAACAATTACTATGTGGTATATTACTTTAATGTGATGACAGTAATGAAGCAGGTTAGGATATCTGACCGGTAAACCGATTACCATGGTAATCGATAATCTAAGTTCATATTTACAGAAAAATTAATTTAAGATATAGATGTATTCAACACACAGACAATCAAAACACCTGACATCTGATTCGTACGTTGGTACGAAAACTATTTGTACTAACCAAGAATAGTTTTTAAATGCCATAATGCCCATCGAATTTTCGAGATTAGTTTGGAAGCTAATTCACTCTGTAACATGAGAGGATGATATTGACTTTACCTGGTTGTAACACCTATTACACCCCAGCGTTGATATTGTTAATATTGCACTTAAAAAGGCCAACTTTAAATGTACCTAGTTTAATTAAATTGGAACTATTTGTTTACTGAATATTATTGATTACTATAGAAATAATAACATTCATTGAAAGGTAAAGAATTATTAAATTAAATAACTATTACATGTTCACACAACCAATCAAAAATAATTTTATTTTCACAATGTGATTTAAAAATAAGCCGTATACCATATATCTACTATATATTCAAGATATTTATAGATGTCTATAATTTCTCAGTTATGAATTGTGAAGAAATCAGTATAAAATATCATACAATTATTGTTCAAATTCATATGAACGAACATTATTTTAAAGAAAAAATTGAGTTCATATATATGTATATATATTTATGGATATGTTTGTATTTAGTATATGCGCATATCGTTTCTTTATATATAGACATCGTTATTTTATACTCATATATTGAAAGAAAATTGAAAAAAGCAAAGTTATTATTGCTATGAGCCAGTGTGCCCTACTTAAAAATTTATTATCTTTTTCTGTAGTTTTCCTTTCTTCCTACTGATATTAATTTTTGTTTTCTTTCATTTATTTTTTTTTTTTTTTTTTTGCAAGTTTTCCAACGTTTTGTATGAGTATTTTAGCTTTAAGATTCACTCAACCATTTTGAAGAAAAATATGGTTTCAGCTCTGTTAGAGATACAAAAGTGAAATTGTGCTTGTGAAAATATTTTCTTCGGAAAATTCTATTTGTGAAAAGTCAGCAAGGTTCGTGTAGTTAGAAAATTAACTTTGATTATGCACAGATTCAAATGAAAATTTTATAGAATTTAAATAAACGAAGTTTAATCTGCGAAAAATTTCAAGAATTGCAAAAATTGTTTGAATTTTAATAGAATTTCAATTGCAATACACATATTATTGGTTTAAATAATAAAATATTATATTTTCAAAATATTAAAGTATGATCTATTATTATTTGGCATGATATAAAGTTTGTATCATATCTCTTGATAATACTGAACTTGTTAGATTTATCTGCAAAAATTATTTCTTCAAATATTCTCTTTTGCAATTTATCTTCGTTTCATTTTTATTTACAAAAGTTCTATTTATATTCAATTTTGAAATGATTATTAAGTTATTACTATATTACTACCAATAGATTTTTGTAACCTGTGCTAAATTATAAAGTATACATCCACGAAAAATCTATCTAACTACATTTAATCTATCGCAGTTTCATATATATAAATACGCATACAATTTCGACCCAAATATTATCGTCCCACAGATATTTCATTATAACGAAATTATTAAACTGAAGAGTACTTAACAAAATGACACTTAGTGTAATAGTTAAAAACAAAAAAAAAAATTCTACTGAAGAATGGCATTAAAAAGATTTTGAGCACTTGACTTTCACGAAAGATACCCCAATCAACAGTTTCTTCCCCGCATAAAGTACAAATTTTGGAGGTTGACTGGGTATGTGGGAACACTTGAGCGTAGCGCGCTTCAGAACACAATTTATTATGGCCATAAATCTATGCAACAGAAACAATTTAAAACATTTAAAATGGCAACAACAAGAACAAAAGCCAGAAAATGTATTATTTCAGTGATACGTGGCAACGCCAAATGCACTGTTGGTAGTCGGGAAGTATAAACAAAAATGATGTTGCAAATAAGTGAATTTCATGGTATCATGGGTAGCAAAATTAAAAAATAAAAACAAAAACGAAATAAAAGAAGAGCATAGGAATAAACATAAAATATGAAGCAAAATACAAAAAGCAATAATAAGATTTTTATATGATTTTTACCATAAGCGCAATAAAATATAGACTATACCAGATGTTCTTAACGTAATTTTCACTTATAAAAATAATTTCAACAAACAATTGCATAATTTTTATTTTCTTTTCTTTATTTCAGATAAAAACAAATTAATTGCTGCATAAATTTAAACAATTTATTGTCATAAAACCCAACGAATACAACAAAATGCTGCCACATAATCGCCACCCCCTGGCGATATTGCTGCTATTGACCTGTTGTTGTGCATTAATATCAACGATTGAATCGCGTTCGCGTGATAAAGAAAGTCGCCGAAATCGTCCTGACCGTGTTTACTCATCAACATCTGCTTCATCAGGACATTATAGTAGTTCATATGTAAGTGCCACAGCTAATGTACCAAAGGACACTACTGGTTTCTGTACGCGCCGTCGTGATATGAAGCTTATGTGCTATTGTACACCGGATGAGAATTATGTGCCTGTGTTGAAAGCAGAATGTTGGGTTTTCTCAGATGCTCTACTACAGAATGACACCACCTGGACACGCTTTGAGCAGCAGAAACATTTAAGAGATCTCAAATTTGTTATACAAAATCATGGTCGCCTAGATTATATACCAACAGCAATTTTAGAACCATTAAAAAATTTGACTGGTATCACCATTGAATATGCACAAGTTGAAGTTATTAAAAGCTATGCCCTTGCAAATTTACAATACTTGGAACGCATTATATTACCGAATAATCATATAGTCGCATTGGACCATGATGCATTTGCCAATCACATACGTCTACAAGAACTCAATTTGGAACATAATCAAATTTATGAAATCGATCGTTATGCTTTCCGTAATTTACCACTGTGTGAACGTTTGTTTCTTAATAATAATAACATTTCAAGTTTGCATGAAGGACTTTTTGCGGAAATGGCACGATTGGTGCATTTAAATTTGGCACATAATCAGATCTCAGTGTTGACAAGTGAAATTTTCAAGGGTTTGGGCAATTTGAATGTGCTCAAGTTGACACATAATAATTTGAATTTCATCGGCGACACTGTATTTGCTGAATTATGGAGTTTAGCCGAATTGGAATTAGATGATAATCGTATTGAGGTAAATGTTATTATAACTTGCATTATATGTTTACACTTGTATATGTATATGTATATTTGTATATCCACTACAGTTATACACTAAACTGCTTAAAGTATCTGTTAAATACACATATCATATATTATACATATTATTAAGGATATACGCTATTGATTCATAAGCAATTCCGTTCGTGAATTTATGTTTTGACTTTGTTATAAGAAACTCGTAGTACAAAACTTTTGCTATACTTCATATTTCGACATAAATTTATGCACTACTAAGCCATGGAAATTGAATAATGAATACTTAATCTATATCGCATTTATACTCGCATTTACTTTTCGATTATATGACTTTGAACGTATTAAATAGTAAAGAAAAAGTTGTAAGCAGTAAAGGAAATATTATTTGGAAAAGTTTGTGAAATATATTTTATTCTTATGAAAATAAATTTCGTGATGTATTTTATAATATACGAACAAAAATTTAGTAGAATTCATCTAATATGAGAATAGTTTAAGTTAAAATATTATGTACGCAGAGAACTTTAATAGACACTCTAGACTTCTAGATTTAAGTACCAGAAAAAAATTTCAAATGAACTTAGAATTGCTTATAATATTTATAATATGAAGAATAATTATAACTTATAATTTTTAATAATTATAATTTTTATAATTTTTAATATTTATAACTCATTATACTGAAATGAATAAAAAAATGCGTAGAGTCGAAAATCTAGGTTATTCAATAGAAAATATTGATTTTAGTCCAAAAATATTATTTTTATTCGTGATATTCAACTCAGCTTTCTTTGATAAAAATCATTTTCCATATCAGATTTCTTTTTTAGGTGCGGAAAAAGTCAGAAGTCAGCGAAAGCAAAATCTAAGAAATAGACTGCTTGTTACAAAAATCAGTACTCAAATTTAGTGATTAAGATTATCAATAGATTTTTATGCTATGTCAGCGAATATATTATTTTAATCTAAAATATTTTTAACTACTTCAACCAGTCTTTTTTCTTAAGTTCTTGTATTCTTGAGGACTAATGAATTGGTATAATAATCTTAGTTTATTGTTTTACCAGTTGAAAAGTATTCTACTAACAAACTTCTTTCGCATCTGAAAAAGAGAAAGCTAAACCCTTCTTTGTCGATTTTTGACTAAACCCCGCTTTGAAGCCGACGATCTAATTTATACACATTATATACAAATATTTGAGCAAAACTGTACCTCTGTGTAATCGGTTACAATTGCATCACTTATGAACAAAAAGAAACGCTGCGAAAAGATTAAGATTACAATTTGTACAACCACGTGTTTCTCTGTAGCTGTAATATAAAAATTCTTTGGAAAGCTGAGACGTTCAATCCTTGGAGATAAGGTAGAAATCAATATTTCTGTCACGAATACATTTTTTTTCACGGCCACGAAATCAACATCACATAGCGATCTTTGACGGTGGGATCGAATTTTTTATTTCAATCATCAACTCAATTTTTTGAACGATTAAACATTGTCGATCCTACCATATTCGTCTCAGCCTTCCACTGTTTTAACAAATAAAATTATTGTAGGGCTGAATCTGGAATCCGTAGAACTTAATCTCGGCGAAAAAGATTTGGTACAAGACATTTGGCTTCATGAATGAATTGATTGGCTTACTTTGATAACCCGATAATTCTGCTTTTAATAAACGTAAGCGTTTCGAAGCGTTTGTTTCATTTCAAACGTTCTTTGATGTGACGAGTCGATCTAAAGTTATACAAATCTGCTACTGATCAGTTTTGGATATTAACAAGAAATATATTCAGACATTACGACATATACTTTATAGAAAAGAAATAAATAATCTATTTTAGACCGATTAATTTTGCTGTGAAGGTACCTCAAATTAAACTGTTCTGTCACTCTGCCCAGTGAGAATTCCAATATCCCATATGCACAGTGCAAGTATTCTGCTTGAAACTGCTTTAGATGAGTTAATAAATCTAGGGATAATAATTATATATATTATATAAATAAGCTATAAGCTTTTCGGTAGACGATAAACTTTTTGAACAATTTTTTTTTTTTTTTAATGGTGAGAAGATGCTTTATGTACCAACTGCTTTATGACCAACTGTCGTAGGAATGGTGTGCCCGACTTTCTAACATTAATATGTAGTATACAAAACATTCGCTCTTAGGCGAATCATTTTCCAACGGAACCGCTTTCAGATTACTTCAAGGAGGGTCTCTTTCATGTTGACATTTCAAGACGTGCTCTTGTAATTTTCGATCTGCTTCCAAACGATTACTTTGGAGTGAAGAAAAGTGTTGAAAATTTAATATTCATTTGTTTTAAATGCATCAAATGTGTAAAACATATTCTGGTAATAAATTGTTGAAAAGTTATTATTACTTGTAAATTATTTCATATCCTTTCTTTGTACATGACATTTATATGTACTATATTTTGTATTTATTTTATTCATTTAAGTATATATTTCAACTTGTTGACCATTTTAAACTACTTATTAAATTTTACTTGAAGCTACATCCACTGTCATAAAATATTTATGATTATGGATCCAAAAGTTAATGACGACTACAAACGTAAATTTATATTTTATGTACTTTTGTAATTTAACTTTGAGTTTAATAGCACTTGATGTACTTTAAAGTAAGCATTTAATCATTTATGCCATTTAATCTTTAAAATTTTTCGTAAAATATGTGTAGCTTCCTTCTTAACTTAATTCAAAGTAAAAATCAGAAGAATTTATAACGAAAATATAGCTATACAATGGCGTATAATGTATCATCATCTGAAATAAGTAAGAAAGCAGGCAACGAACCGAACCAAAACCAAAGCACATATTATCACTGCAAATGTTTATAACTTGAAGGTTATCTCTTTGCAAAATATTGAATAACAAATCATTGAATAATAGATTTATGGCACTCATAGGGTATCCGGTTTCACACACTCACCCGCAAACTTACACATATTGTGGAAAAGTGTGTAACAAACCTCAAAAAAATGTAACTGTATATAAAATTATAAGTAAAAAAATATTAAATAAATATAGTAAGTGTCCTTTAAGCAGGACGTTGACGACGCTACGACGACACTGATGTTAGCAGAGATACAAGACTAAAGCAGCAGAAACAGTATAAAACTGACGACATACAGATAAGCGTAAATCCAATTTGATATCCTAGACCGAATCGGTTGAAATATATATTGTGAAGTCAGTTATGCTGGTAGCTGAGCATACATTGAAGAGTGAGTGGTATGTTTCTGTGTGTTGAGATATGAACACATATGAATGACTGTTTGTGCTATTTCGCAAAGTGGTCGCATATCCTGTCATATACATGCAAGCGGTTTGGCCAGGCAACTGGAATATATGCGTTAACTCCAAAGATATGAAGCACTCATGACTTCACTCAAGTGTTAGGGATTTTTAGCACTTTTTTCTCTAGTGCTCCTCGCCTTTTATTGTCTTTATGATATATTTTTGGTTTTTCTATTTTTGTTTTTTGAGTTTCTTTCTGAGCTTTTTTCTTCTCATATGTCGGTAATGTTGCTGATGATGATAGTACGGGTATGCTGGTACTGAATTGTCATTCAATTTATTATGGAGTTGTGCACACAATCGCACAATCCTACAACTTGAATATATCAGATAAAATATCAAATAATTTCTAGTATATTGCGATAGTCTTTGTCGTGTGTTAACATATTTTTTAAAAGATTTTCTTTTATTTCATTTATAAAAAAAAATCCTTTTTTCCCTTTTCCATACAATTTTTATATATTTCTTCAAATTAGAAGAATCTTGTTTCGCATATTTTTGGTTTATTATTTCATTGCGTATTCATGTGCATAAATAGAACAGTGCTGTAGTGTTGGAGTATATATTTTATTTAAATACAAAAGCTGTCTATGATTTTATGCTTTGCAGCCTTCCAATCCATCTGGAAAATACAGTAGAAATCCCTATTCGTTGCTTATGTCTCTGTTGCGAATTCACTTGCCATTTAGTTTTCCTATGCGTGTGTATTTCAGTATCTCAACATTTTGCTTTACATATTTTTTTGGTTTCATCTTTTTTTACTTTTACATTTGTATTTTCCTTTTTCTGGTCCAAGATACATTTGTGTGTTATGTTTGCTTCTTTTGGCAAAGTTAAGTTTTATTATCTGGAATAAATGTGTTTATTTTCTTAAAAGAAAAACCATATTTAATATGAGTTGACTGTTATGTCCGTACTTAGTAGAGAGAATATGTAATTTAACGAACAGGAAAATTTTAATGTACTATATTTATACGCCACTAAAACTTGCCTTATGCATGAATTACTCCTAAAGTTATTCTCTTTGTTGTTTTGCATATTATTGCTTTTTATTATGTACAATTCATAAGAGTGTTAAGTTGATATATCAAATATGTTAAACGTAGGAAACTTTATTCAGATAAATTGTATATCTCAATGCAGCACTTAAAAGCTTTTGGTTTAGTTGGAAATGTTAAGCTAAATTGACTACTATGGACTATGGCCACAACATATATAAATGTGGCAGGTCAAATTCTTTATTATCTATTAGAAACAAGACAGCAAAATAAGCAACACAATTAACCACAAGAAAATAAAACAAATATTAAATTTTTAATAAAATGCATTTTTATTAAATGTTATATATTAGGATGAATCTTAAACGAAACATTAAAATAAAAACGATTAAAAAACAGTCCCAATTTTCGAAAAAATTGAATACTTCCTACAGATCATAGTTATTGTCCTCAATAAGTCATAGTGAAATAAAGAGCTTCGCCAATCTTTATAAATCGAGACTTGTTAGGGACTTCACATCATAAATCACTACAAATATAATTAGGACCCTTCATTATAGTCTCAATTGCTATTTACTACGTCTCATCTTGACAGTCAGGCCGTCGATTTATATACCCCAGCTCATTTTCATGATTTTAATACAATGAAACGTAGAGTTTTAACAATATTTTC